GGAAGTTGTCAAAAAAAAAAAACCAAGAGAATTTCTGTATATAATTTGTAGGCTCTTTTTCAGGTGTGAGGCTACATTTGGGCAGCTTTTTACACACTTTGGGAAACTGGGAGAATGAGGAATGAAATACTCCCCCCCAAAACACTGTTCTTGTTACGCTGAAAAATTCAACAGAGTTGGCTCTTTTTCGAGGCCACTCCCCACCCCTCACCTGGTCTCCCCACCCCTCACCTAGTCCCTCCACCGTCACACCTCCGCATCAACCTGCCTGTGGTTTAACCCTGGGCAGACCAAGCTGCAGGCAGGACTCTGATTTCCTTTGAATGCTGCTTGCACTGTCAAAAAAACTTTAGCCTGTTGCAAGGAATCGGCACATAAGTGAGGCTCTAGTTGTGGAACAAAGACTCCTTTGTATTTGTTGACATGCTGGGCATAACCGGCAGTCAAGTGTGCTAATCCAGCCTCAATATCACTCCAATCATGGAAGGGGCTCATTTGGGTGGCTATCTTAGAATCAAGTGATTTCACTAGGAGGTAAAACATTATTATCCATTGGCACCCTTGGAGAAAATGGGACTTCTCAGATTGCGAACAAGCACCACTGTGGTTTCCTCATCCTGGACAATTTTTTTCCCTATCGTGATCTGCATATTGCTAATGCTATTGTATACCTAATGACGTCAACTTTTTTATCCTTCTGTCAGAAAGTGGTTTTTACTAAGGCTCTCTCTTGATTGGTCCCACTGGCAAATGAACAGCTTGCCTGCCAAACAGCATCCAGTCATTGTCGTCCTGTACAAATTACAGCTCTTGTTTTTCCCGGGGAGTCCACTCAACAAGTTATATTTCCTGCCCTTTCACTAGCCATGCACTCTATGTCCATCTTGGTGAGTACCAGCACTACATATACCATTCACCTTTCCTTTTCTTCCAGCATGTAGAATAAAGGTTGGTGGTGAGGGGTACACGGAAACATGCCTCCCCCCCCAAAAAAATATGGAAAGCACTTCAGAGTGTCAAAGGAGGAGTGGCAATATATCTCTTCAGTTATGCATACAAAAAAGTTTTTGTAGTCGGGTCCCTCATCTGGACCCTTGTCATGCCGTCTTGTCAAAGTCTTCATCTTCCTCGGCCACAACGGTCTGGAGGGGAATCCATTGTGGCGTCTGGTTCTCCTGGCGTCAAATATACGTCTCGGAGAACTCCTCTTCCGAGGCGGCCGAGTTCCGCTGGCCCCGGGGCAGGGAGGCCGAGAGGGCAGAGCTGCCTGCCCCCACCGAGACAAAGGCGCTGTCCTCGCAGGATATTGTGGGTGGAGTCAGCTTGTCGGGGCCGAAGGAGGATCGCGAGCGCCGCGTTGTTGTCACGGGACTGCCGCTGTTACGCTCCTGGATCTTGCTCGGCATGGATGCCTCTGAGGGGGCAGTCTTAGTGCGCTGCGCAATGAGCTCTGTTAAATGTCGTATCCTCCTTTCTCTCTGTGAAAATGCAGAAAAATATAATTCAATATAACATCAAATATTAATATTATAATATTACAATCATGGTATACCATGGTGGGCTGTTTATTTTACACTGAAATAGCACTGAAGTTTTACAGACTTCATTCCCTGAATACCATGTTGTCTCCAACCATACCTTGTTTATTTTGAAGCCACAGTTTGTCAAAATTTAAATATTCATTCTTATCAGCCTGCTAGCCAATCAGCATCTTCAATATAAAATGCTCCTACTTGTCATTCTTCCGTGTTCACCATAATTCACCCCTTTAGGAAATGTACGCACAGCACCAAAGTGAACACTGACAGATGCATTCAAACCTGGGGGGAAGAACTGCACAAGAATTTTGACAACCAACCAATGTTTCTTGGAACATCTCAACCATTAAATTAAGGTTCAAACATGCACGATGCATCTCATGATGAAATTTACGTTGCTTTTTTTCAAACCACGATGACCACTATTCACCAGTTTTGTACTCGAGTTCATCACAAGTCCCTCCACAAGTCCCTTCACAAGACCAGTGGACAGTACTGGGGTGGACAATGACAAGAGAATGCCTGTGTCGCAGGTCATTTGAATAGCTAGTGACATGGATGGACTTGATGACTGGGTGGAGGGACTTGTGATAGACTTGACTGTAACACTGCCATACTTACCTCTGCTATTTGTCTTTTAATCTCTATGTTGTCGGCTGACAACCGTTGATGTTTCTCTTCGTCCTCCCTGCTGGGGGCAGTGATACCCGGCATATTTTTTGTGTACGTTCCATCCGGGTTCTTACGAATGAAGAGCATCTGTGGAAAGTGGAAGAGTAGGTTGGCATCACACCGACCCCCATGCATGAGCTCATCAAGAAAGCGCTTTTCAGCATAGCAACAAAAGTAAATGATAGGCAATGTTGTTTGCATGCATACGTAATCCTTTCACACTTCAGAATGCTTAATGAAAACGTACCCAAAGGCTTCCAAAATTTCAAAAATAACGGACTTTTTGTCCAACATATGGGTCAGTTTATTTTTGATATCTATACTTGAGCAGCAAGTACTAAGCTTCTCACCTTCGGAACAAATATTAAAATCAGCGTAATTGTTGAGCAGAAGACAACCGTGAGGGCAGCAAACCCAAACACTGCATCCTGCTGACTGCGAATAATAATTGTGACGGGAGCTGTAATAATACACAAGACCTGGACGAGAGAAAAAAATATAAAGGCAATCGGTGAACCCCTTGTCAGTGCAACCAGTTTGTTGGACAGTTTCACTCCAAAAATTCACCTTCTTAGATCCCTAAATTGTTGGGCAAAATCAAACACATTCTGGGTATATGCCTACATAACTTCCCATATCCCAGATGCATGGGATCTACTAGGTAAAGAGCTGTGAAGAAAGGCTCCAGGTGGACCCATCTAGCTTTTCGATTACAGAAGAACACGTGTATCATGGTTCCTGTGTCCCTAACCAGCAAACTGCATTACTGCTCAGTCTGCCCAGCTGCAAATGGAAGTTGGTTACTGAGAGTGTGAGTAGAAACAAACAGGTATGTGTTTGTTTTCTTCCTAGAATCAGTTTACAGGGAGTAACAAATCATTCAGTTTCGGGCCAACGAAATGACAGCTACTGTTGACGCCTGGCAAAGCTGTTGGTATATGTGACCCCCCCATCCCAAAATCAGACTGAAGTTGGCATTCGGGAAGTTGGACAATTCCTCTCCTTCAGCTTTTTTTCAACACGTCAAAGTGATCTATGTTAAATCCAAATTCTGTCTGCAGAAAGCTTCTTACGGGTAGTAATAGCTGTACAACTCCCATGAAAAACTGAACAGTGGAAGTTCCACTATTGTAGGGTTATGGAGTTACCTACTTTAGGCTGGTTTGGGGATGGTGGGTCACATGTTGTTTTAAATATGCAGTCAGCTAGGGAAAGGAGTCATGGGAGTGGATATGCTGTAAACAAGCCAGACATACAGACTGAGTGTAGCCAAGGCAAAATGAAAACTGGCAGGAGAGAGTAACTCACCGATACATTGTAAACAGACATGCCAACGTATCTCGAATCATTCAGATCTCTGACAGTCATGTTTCTCGTCTCGTACGCTAAGAACAACCCAAATATAAGTAGCAGACCATTGATGGCGTACAAAATACCTGAAAAATTGAAGAAACAAAGTTTGGGGAATAAGGAAATGAGGCAGAATAATGTGGCTGCGGCATTCAAGCAGCTTTCCCCCAAATCTTAATGGGTTTTGGTCTGAATCCAAACTGGTTGAGGTGTTCGTGCAATTCCCACGACGATGAATCTTTTACAGTTTTGCAACTCAAGACAACTTTGCCCGCAGAAGCTAACGGATAGGCTGCTTACGGGGATTGTTTCTTGCTTAAAATCACATTGACAGACTCAAAACTTGTGTATCTGACAGATTGATTTCCCAATTTCGGTGAAGCGTGGGGTCAGTGGCAAAGTTCACTATAGAAATCTAAACAATCACTACATTGGTCTAGTTCAACAACTTGCTACGTGGTTCGGTAATTCAAGCAAACATCCAGACGCTGCGATATTGCAGCCTTAAACACTGCCCAAACTATTTGCAGTTGACAAGTGCTCTTCAGGGCTATTGATGTCCACTTTATGGCAACACCTTGTCTGCAAATAGGTCAATTACGCCAGATTTCAACTGGTCCCCATGGTTCTGTAGCAGCCCATTAGACCCGTTCTCTTCCTGTTTGACTTTCTGCGTGACACAGGGATTCGTGGAGCAGTTACATGATCTTAAGGAGGCTAATCAAATTGGAGAAGTCAGCCGATGAAAAACGAACTCGAGTGGCACTTATCAGCCGGTGGTCAGCCATTTCTGGACAAACATGATCCTCTTTCTATTCTTTCTGTGTTTTTTTCTCACTTTTTTTCTCTCTCGTGGAAAGTGCTGTCGCTTGCACTGGGACATTCCTCCATCAATACTTGTCTCAATCAATTTGTCTACGGGGAGTGCTGGGCGCATTTTCAAAAATTGCCATGTCAACAAACGTCCTGATGAGGTGTCTGCGAGGAATCGTTTTCCCATATGGCAACAATGACGTCACACGTTTCAAAGGTGTGGCAGGTTGATGGAGACACGCATGCCTCCGTGAAGAAAGTAAAATCAATGAGTGCATGGTTGTCATTTAAGCTCAAAGTAGTATTTAATTGTTGTGTTCTTTTCTATCAAACAGAAATCAAAGTATAGCTCACTACTATTTTAGCTTTTTTGAATCTGCATATTCTTGTTTTAGCTTATTACAACAAATGTAGCACCCAGCCCAATTCAGTGAAATTAAAGGCACAAAATTTATTAATGGATGCATTGTAAATGCAACTTTGTGTCTCATACGTGTATAGCCCCATTGTTGACTTTTTTGACAGCATTTTGGTGCCTTTTGGGTTTTCATGTATATACAAATTTGCATATTCATTACCAAAAGTATACCAATAGCGCTATTTTGAGACAAAACCTTATGGTACAATTATTTCAATATTTGGAATAATTTACTGCCTTTAATCTTCTTTTCTCTGGTTATTTATCGATTCTGTTCCCAGCAGTAGGCCAGTGAGCAAAGTGTTTCAATGTGTAAATTTGGGAGTCACAATTCAAGCAGAAAAATTCTTAAAGTGAACTGTGTCTTCCTGGAAAAAAACCATGGAAGTAGAGCCTTTGTCTGCCAGGAAATCATGAAAATCTCAAACGTTTAAAGAGAGCAATTTCAAAGAGACAAACCCAGAAAAGGAATGTCGAATAATAAGTTTCATACATTCAAGAGGAGTACAGAGTTTTATTTCACCACTTGCTGCCGGGTGGATTTTTTTTGAGCAAGACAAGATGCTGGCTCATTTTCAAGAGTTTCCCGTTTTCAATGTTCTTCAAAAATTCATCATTTCATTTAATGGCCATTTATACCAAAATGAAGGACTCTTTGGGCACTATTCTAAAGCTGACAGCTCAAATTCATTGACTCCTGAATATTTCAGCCAGGCCTGCAGCCTTGGAAAAAGAGCCCAGATTGTGCGGTATTCCGTAAGATTCTTTTGTTCCCGAAACCGGCACAGTGCACCGCTGACCTCTTTTCAATAGGGGCCAGATTAGCGTGCAGAGGTGCTGTGTGGCTCATCGCTGTGTTGGTGGAGAGCTTTTGTCCCCGGTGGTAATCCGCTCACTCTAAATGCCTCAAACCATGGTATACTGTTTCAAAACAAGGCTGGATTTTCTCCACTATTGAGAGCGAAAATAATATCGGTAATGCCCAGCAGCTCAGTCTTTTGTGCTGAGCACGGTCTTTTGTTATAAGGTCCAACTCTTTTGTCCCAGTTCCAGGCTCCCCGGCTCTGCATATAAAGCCTATGTACTCGAAAACGGGTCGCCCGGCAGGAAGTGGTTAATATTTTCCTAGGTAAAATTTATGTCATGGGCCCCTTTAAAGTCAGGGGTGTGTGTTTAGTCACAAACAAAAAAGCTGAGAACAGTTGGTAAAAAGCTGAAATTCACAAAGGCTTTCATAATTTTGTACCAAGAGGGTGCACAAAAATGCTGAAAATCAGCTTAAAACACCCCTGAAAATATTGCTTGGAGAATTTTTTTCGGGGGGGAGGGGTCAGCAAAATTCTTCAGGGTGGAGGTAAGGGAAGTCCCCACTCACCAAGCCAAATGGAGAGATGCTCGGCCTCACAGTGCTCCAGCTGTGGCTGGATCTCCAGGTCGTCCTCATAGTGCTCCTCCTTGTCGAAGTCCTCCACCTGACGGTAAAGCGGGTCGATGACCTGCCAGATGGTCAGTAGGACCAGGTCCACCACCAGCAGGATGCCAATCATCAGGTACATCTTCCAGACTTCTACTTTCTGCTCAAACGGTGGGAGGGGAGAAAGGAAGAACTAAACACACAAAACGGAGGGACATTTTCATTGGGAGACTTTGAGACATTGGTGGCAGCAGACATACCAGTCCTTTTCCACACTACGGCACCTGCTCAGAACGATGCGCACATGCTCAGAACAATGTGCACATGCTCACAACTGGTAAAATGGGCAAATGTGTTCGCTGCCTCCAAGTGTTTCAAAGTATCCTATTAGAGGAAAGATTTTGCCTCAAAGAGAATTCCTAAAACCTTTGTGCATTTAATATTTGGAAATACATTGAAATAAGGCTGCTTTTCAGGATGACAATCTTAGATCCTGTTCCACTTTGTACATGTACATGCAGTGCCAATCCTCGGAAATGATGCACTGAAGTCAAAGACTGGGCAGCCTATTTTGCCAATTTTGACTGCTACAGGCGGTCAAGTTCAATTAAACCTTTCTGGTCCTTGTGAGCCTGGATAAATAGAAGAAAGTAAAGCCAACTTGCCACGGCACAAAGTAAACACTATTGTAGTCAAATACTTTACAGAAACTTGAAAGTCACTAGGGTCTTCACAAACTTTTCACCAACTATCACAAACACAATGACGAGTGCTTTCACTACTAAAGGTGGGAGTTAAGGTCCATGTATGAATAATTTGTCTTTCTCATTAACAGAAAGGTACTTGTGACTCCCTCTTCTTGAAAAGTACTTGACTACAGTACTAAAGCAATCATTAAAACTTTAATTTAGAGGGGCCACTGAACTGTTGTCATTGATTCATTTAGGCCAGTTCTGAAGTTTAGACCTCCACTGTGACCGGTGTTTGTTGGCAGAGACTCACCTGAAGGCTGATTTTCCGCCGCCTCCGTCGTCCATCCTCGCTTTCCGATTTCTCCTGTGTCACCAGACTGTGCATCATCCAGATTTTGCTGAACATGGCTCCGTAGCCCAGGGAAAATGCTACAGCTAAAAGCCATGCAACCGACTGCATAAGAAAAAACAAAACCAAAAAAATTAACCGAGAAAAAACAAACAAACCAATGCCCTATAAATATACCACTGTCCAATCAACCTAAAAGTGTAAAACCATGATGTTTGGCCACTGCATTGGCTTAACAAGATATTTGATCACCTTGGCAAACAAAATTTTACAGGTATCCACAGGATGTGAAAAATGAGCAGTTAACAAAGTTTATTTGAAGATAAAATGGTTATCCTGTTTTTGCCCTTGCGACATCGAAAACGACGTGCTTCCCTTCCCAATTGCGCTAGCTTTTCTAGCCCCATCATGGCCTGCAGGGATACTATTCTTGTCAACACTTCTCTTGCACCCAAGTGATAATTCATAACGTATTTAATGCACACGTACTGCATGCCCAATTACTGAGGCTCTGCATGACTGCCAAACAATCCTTATGTCCTTGTCTTATATCTCTCAGACATGCTCTTGGAAGCTTGGACGAAATGTGAGCTGGGGGGGGGAGTAGACAAACCCACGCAATCAAACCCAAGCAGGATGAGCCAACAGCTCTCTTGTTCCATTTCCATAACACACAAAGTGATGAGCCACTGGACATACTTGAGGCATGATGTGCTGAATGAGTACGTCTATATCATGCTATTCAGTTCACATTCAAATCGTATACCAACTCAATGCCTCCGCCTCGCTGCAATTCTTCCCTATTAACTTGTGACCTGATTACCGCGTGACCCGGCCCTTTCTGAGTTCCCCCGCGAGCTGTGTTCTGATTTGCTCAGCCAAGCATGTTCTCATCACAGAGTGTGCTTGTGTAGTAGTCTCAGGGGCCGGTTATGGGAGGACGAGCTGGCAGAAAGAGACGGATAGCATCGCAGCCTCATGAGAAACATGCCCATAACGGGGTAACGTTATCAATCTTGCTGCCTGATTCAGCCGGATCATAGAGTCTAATGGAGTATGTAGTGCATATAGGTAATTCCAGAAATTAGAGGTCCATTTTTGTGTGTGTCCCTGTCACATCTGAAATATGATTTTGTAAGTTCAGAACACATTTTCTAATTTCTAAGCCAAACAAATAGTTATAATTTGAAATCAATTCTGGTGATATTTCCATGTCAAACAACAAAGGTCAGATGTGACAGGGACACAAAAATGTCACCCCTTTGGACCCCTGAATTCTGGAATTACCTATATACCCTTTTTATCCAACACCCTTTGACATTACCAGTGGCTGCACGCAGTTCTTTAGAATGATCAATTTTCGTTATTACGCCAGAGAATTACTCTCGAAGCCCATGAATAGTCCATTTGGCAATAAAATTTTCACTTGTGCATCATGTAAGCTTACTGCACGCACCTTGTGTTGAATCACAGTGTCTTTTTTTTACGACAATCTTTTATTTTCTTAACACACCTGTAATTTGGGGAAAGTTTCTTTAGTTTATAGACATAAAGGCTGCAGCTGACTCAGGTATAATGAGAAGAACGACACGGGACACTGGAATTCAATCAGAACTTGGCATGAGCACCGCCAGGATTTTTCCCGGGAAGAAATTTTTGGGGGTGGGGCAAAGTACTGATCAGCCACGAACTGATAAACCATTAACAGTGGGGGGGGGGTCAATTTTAAGGTTTATTAAAGCAAATTAGTGACTCGTGTCCCCTTTCATCGCTCTTTTTGTTTCCTTTTTAATTTAAATTTTTTTTATGCAGGGTGCACAATCCCCTTATGATGCAAATGGTGCTTGATGTCTGGGTAAAGTAAATTAGGTCTCACTGAAAGGATTCTGGGAGTTCGAAAAAAAAATGACAATTTCATTTCACAAATAATTAAAGCTCCACATAGGTTTCATACACTTGAAATAAACAACTTTCTAAATAGAGCAAGAACCCCTCAATAACAACGAAACAAAATAATAAAAAAACTCTGTAGTTATTTAAGATGGATGGCAATTCTAATTTTCATTTTTTGGGGGGAGGGGGATGATGGCATGGATGTCTGAGATGATGGTCATCAGGTTTACTGCACACTCTTTGATAAGCAAACAGCACAACGGCTAAATTTATAACTGTAACTGATGTATGAAATGCTGTCGGATTTGGTTTACTCCCTCCATGACTGAACTGAGGTTCAATGGCCTTGAAACACAGCTCTGCATGCAAGACTGTGCGGATATCATTGCTGGCCTGTGTGCCATGTGATCAGCAGGCTAAGTCGCACAAACACATGCTTACAAGACAAAGGTCGTGAACACCATTCGATTTGTGCCCGATTGTCAATGGGCAGACCTGCCCCGAGGCACATGCAGTACATGGCAGGTGAAAATGCCAGATTAATCAATGGGCTATTGTTAGTGACGCCAATTCCTTCCGGCGAGTTTGAGGCATGGCCGGGGAGAATGGGGGGAAAGAAGAAGAAAGGAAAAAAAAGAAACGAGGGGAAAAAAATTCTCAATAAATGACTGAATGGACGTTTTGGTGGGGCAAAATGCTCAAATTGAGTGTGATAAATGTTTATTAAAGCTTCCCTTTCTCACTAGTGAAGGAATCAATTCTGCCTTGTCAGTACCAGAGATTCAAACGAGCTTAAAAGGGGAAATGCTAGGCTAAAAACTGTTGACAAGAATACCTTAAAAAAGCTTTATAGATGTATTTATTATAGTAGTATTATGGGAGAAAAAAATTATGCTAATCACTGAAGAATTTTTTAAACTGTGATATCTGTTGAGAAGCAGCATTATAAATTTCAAACTGAAATACTGTATGCGAAAACCAACTGCAAAAGTTCTATGATTAATATCAGATATCATTTGACAGCTGGAGTGGTTACTGATAAAGCTATTATTCATCATATTGATGACAAGTGTTTAATTCAATGGAGTACCCACGTCAACCCCTCCCCAATACTGAAAAACATCTCCAGTATTTACCCGTTAGAACATTCTTCCCGCAAATATCTAAACATTTGGGCACAGAAAATTGGCAATTTTCAATCATATTTATATATTAATTTAAAAAACAATTTGGGGGTGTCATTTTCAAGGAGTCTGATCATTATTCATTTGATAATGAACTCAAGTCTCTTGTGGAATTATAAATTCTTCACACTCTGTCAAGAATTCTTTCTCTGAATTAAGGGTTACTTTCCTGATTTCCTTTTTGAAAATTAGGATTTAAAACAGACACAAGAATGAGCCACTACGCTTAGCTCAGTTCAGTTCTCCTTGGATATAAAGGTATATCAAATAACATACACGTATTCCTAATACACGCATGCATGTGGGGCTCTGGAACTACTGTGAATGAATTTGCAAAGATTGCTTCCAGAAAATACTAACTCTGCAATTCCCCAAATTCAGGGAGTGATAACACCAGGCAACAACCTGACCAAACAAGTCACAAGGTTGCACGAACATTACTGAAAGACTCTGGGGTGGTACAAGTTGTACATGTACTTTACACAAAAACTGACATCACCCGGCATCATCAACGGCAGATCTCACGTGTCAAAAGAGAATTTTTAACAGATTAAAAAGATCCTCTTTCCATAACAGAGGCTCACCGGTCTTTGTTCCATGGTGTCCACAGTTTCAGACCCATAAGCCTACACCTTTTCCACCCAAACTATGCGGTGACTTTTAACAACAGCCCTTTCAAGGGTACACACAAAAGGACACAAAAAGCACCACACGGCAAATTTTTATAATCTTGTGAGACAGAAGTCCAAGACTCACACTGCAGACCATGGGAAACTGGTCTTCGCTGACATATTGTCCATCCAGACCCATCAGGAAGACACTCATCAGACCGATGATGCAGCCGATAGCCGTCAGGTTGTTGATGTGGGGCTGGGAGCAGCTGATGTACCTGTTTTGGGGCAAGATACATAGCTCAGAGACGATTCAGATTTTTTAATTTAAATGCAAGGGTCCTGTTTGTTTTACGTGGATCTGGATCTCAATCAAAGATCCCAAGGCTGGTTCGCTCTATCCATCTGGCATGTTCTAGTGCCAGTGAACCGATGTTAGATCTGTGATTGGGATCCCCATCCATGTGAAACAATTAAGCCCTAAAATACCCAAAGTCGTATGGTCATAGTGTTGTAATGGCAACTTACCACTGTTTAGAAAAATTGACAACCCCCCCATCTCGTGGCTGGCACAACATTGGAAATAGGTTGCACAGAGCCCTTTTTAGCTCTTTGGCCTTTGTATTTGTATGCGAAGCACTGGAATAATGATCTGTGGGTATTGGGTTCAATTCCACCTCTTACCCTGTGTGTTGGAAGCACATGTTGAAGGTGATGCAGACGCAGGCAAAGATGATGGCCAGGCCGGCCAGCACGCAGACGGGGATGAAGAGGTCCTTGGAGATGACCCTCAGCTGGGGCCTGGTGTCCACGCCGTCCTTGGGCGGCCCGTCTCCTCCTGAAGGGGAGGAGCACAAAGAAAAGGAGAGGAGAGGCAGGAGTTAGGGAGTTTTCTTGGGACGCAACATGGCCATCCCAAGATTGTTGTAACAATGAAACATGGAACGCATTTAACTGTGGTCAAAACGCGCAAAACAAAACAAGTCTCTGCCTTGGTGGACACTTTTACCACCATTTCTGTCCGGCTCCTGCATTCAGAGACATCCAAGAATTCTCAAAGAGTTTGATGCAATCGCAGTCAGATGGAAATTTAGCATTTGAACACATGCAGTAATTTCTTCCCACAAATCAAAAAAAATAAAAGGTAGTGCCAGACTGCACCCGATTCAAACATTCTCTACTCACACAGAATATTAGAACCTACTCTTTGCTGCAAAATGCCTTTTTAGGTAAGACACGATAACAGCTTCATTTTTTGTTCAATTTCATTAATTGTTCTGATAAAACAGACAATTTAAGGAATTTATGAGTAAATTAAGAAATTTTATTAGTCCCACTTTGAAAATTCAATGAAATTGTTTAGCTCAGGGAAGCTGGGTATTAACAACCACGGAAAATGATGATTTCATTTCACCACAACGAATACCTTTCTTTATGAAAAAATTTCCAAACAGCCAAACGTGTCCGGTTTGGCATTTACATAACCTTTTTCCATTTATCTTGGTACAGCAGAACATCTTATGTGATGTGGCCTTGGGGCCATGCCATCTCTGGAAAAAAAAACTGCTAGGACCACACTGGTGCTTCCACACCAGTGTGTGCTGTAAAAGGTTGTTCTTTGTTACCACACGATGCCTCTGTGAAGAAGCAATTGATTGGCCTATCAATTTACACAATGGTGTTCTGATTAAAGGAAAGCTTACATCCAGGTGCATCCCCCCACCCAAAAAGGGAGTTGAGCATGATACCCCCTTTGATGAAGAGGAAACAAAGACAGGCATCCAACCTTCAAAATAATGCATCATTGTAACATCAAAAGCACCAGTGAACTTGATCAACTGTTCAAACAATTTGTATTCCTATCGATACGTGTCCGTTAAAAATACATGAAAGCCCTTTTCTCTGCCAAATGTCTTACAAAATTCACAGTTCATCGGTACCCTGCATCAATGCTCACATCAAAGTTGGATCATTCTGGGAAACAACGAGCTCCTGTACGTTACTGGACATCAATAATGCATCAAGTGTGTCAGTCGTGCAATCATTACCGATCATGTTTAAATGTTGTTCTCACTCCCAATAACCCCCATCTTTGCTTCGTTCACTTCGGGAGTTCTGCGTTTGACAGCTGCTACTTAATTTCCGTGGATTTTTACGGCAGAATTACCCAATCAGAGATTGCACTTTTGTAACCTCACAACCACTGAAAGTGGTCATTTCTTATCATACATTCTTAGATGATGATGAAATGATTACAAAATTGAACTGTAGGAAAACTTCAGGAAACCTGATAATTAACAAATGGCTTAAAATCACATCTTCTCTTTGAAGAGAGACTACTTGGAGACTACTACTAAAAGAATAAAATTTTCTGTTATATAAAACACCACATTTTTAACAGTTGTTATTATCTTTTTTAATATTCTGAAGTGTTGTCTATTGTTACTCCTAATCAAATGATGTTCACGGCCATTAAACCTTGTCTTCACGCCAATTACGTCTCTCCATTCTACCAAATCAAATTACGTGCAATTACGCATGCATACGATAGTGATGGACCCATCAGCTGCCCCAGAGGAAGGTCAGCCAGCTTTCATACTTCGCCCCTTTGCACAATGCAATCGCGGACACACCGGATGTAAAATGGCAGGCTTCATTCAATGCCACCACTGCTTTCAGAAGCATTTTTCATGCAGGAGTCTCCCCGAATCCCCCAATGTCACGCCAACTTTAAATTAAAAATTTAAAGCCTTAATTGAAATCAATTAAATTAAGGCCTCTCTGATGAACTGCCACACTTAGGAAAAATTTTCTGAAAAAAAGAACGGCAAAAAAAACACCCAAAGTACAATCAGAAAGTCTCCTCCAATGACAAATACTACAATAAACGCCAATCACTGACTGCTTCTTACTAACTCAGCTTGATTCTAATCCACCAGGAGTCTTCTCTCCGAATTACTCTTGCAACAACAGAAATAAGTGACCACAAATATTTGGAGGACATCAAAACATGACCTCCCCAGTTAAACAATTATGATTTGGCTTGATACTTTTTGCCCTCCCCAACTTCACACTAGCGGTCAGCTCTATCCCAGAGAGTTGTAGTCCTAGCTTCACCACCAGGTGTCTGTGTTTATTCTGGGCATCCTAACATCCCGAGTTTGTAGCTGACAGATGTCCAACCAGCTGAAATGGCCAGGGACGGCAGGCAGTGAGTTGGAAGGCTGTTGCTATATATTTATAAATATCTTTTTTTTTCCTGGCCAATGTTTGTTTTGGATCCCGTGCAAATATTTTGGGTGGTGGCCTGCATTGGTTGTGAAGGGATGTTCATCGGTTGTGAAGGGAAGATCTGCGAGGTGTAGAAACGTGCCTAACAGAGCTCATGTTTTGGGCAACATATGACATCCGTGGTTGCCAAACCCCCTTTGCGGTCAAAACATTTGATTTGAAACACGATTTCCACGTAAACACAGCCTCACGAAGCATGCATGTGCTTGCCTGTGCAATTCAGGTTACTAATAAATACCAGTGACAGCAGCTGATAATTGAAAAAAAAAAGCTACCTGTATGCAAAAGGGCATTTTCAGAAATAACTGCAGTCGCATATAATGCATTTCTAAGGAACTAATGACATGAAAGGGGGAGCTTATAATGGACGGAAATCTATCAAATCATCGGAGAAGTCTCCTGCATTCCAACACCCCTTGGGCACCTTAAAAACTGCATTAACATCAGCCTGTAAGAGCCACAACAATGCACTACAGTGCCTGTTTCTCTTATGATCACAACCGCATCTTTGAGACCCAACCATCTAAACGCTGATGCTCTCCAATAACAAGACAACACATGGCGGAACTGTGCTATCGAGGCTTGCTTTTTTAATGCTACATGACGCAGAAAAAAAAATCTGGCTGTGTGGGTTTAACATAATGCATGTTTGGCTCTTAGTAGAAAAAAAAAATCTTGTACTAACATTTACAAGCTTGAACAAGGGAAGAGTGAACACGCTGGTAATTGATAGGGACATGCAGGGTACTTGCTTGGCCGTGCCCGCCGGCGCAAGCTGCCAGTTTATTTTTTAATAAAGTTTTGATGGGACAGAACATGTCTTGGGTTGTGTTGATAGGATATTGGACAAAATGTGAGATAAAAAGAAAGGCAGGGGGGGGTTAGGTTGGGACAACCTCCAGAAATAATTTGACCAACCAGTAAACCAGCACTGAGTGACATTTTCTTTCAAAAAATTACCCATTCAAACACAAAAAACCTAACCATTGAAAGCCAATAAAAAAGATAAAGGAATGTATACGTGATAGGTGTCAAAGGTCAGGGATCAAGACATGTTCGGTAGTATTTCACCTATATTGGTAATTCTAAAACTGCTTTATTTTTTCCAGACTGTGTAAGATGAAATAAAAATTCCTTTTCTAGAGCAGTGTTCTGGTCTAAATTTACATGATAAATTTTTCTAGAAACAAGTTACATGTATGAAAGCAAAAGCCCATTAACCAAATGTTCGGCATTGGACAGTTCATACAGTCCATGCAATTCAGACACTTGGCTACAATTTCTGAACATACTACACGGAGAAATCGTTTTAAGTTAAAAGTAAAACTTCCAACCAATTGTGAATTGAAGAAAGCTAATGGCTGATAAGAGGGGGGGCCAAAAATGGAGATGAATCTTGATATGTGTGGGCTCGTATTTTCTCATCTGGGTGACACATTCTGTCTTCAAAGTGATTACATAACTGCCTCGTAATTCATAAGCAGAATGACAACCAGCCCCCCCCCCCGACAAATCTTTACCTCTCTTTGAAAGGATATTACTGTCAACCACTGGCACTATACAAATCCTTGCAAGGAAAAAACTTTCACACGTTTCAAGTTTCTAATGTTCTCATCTCACCATCAAATCAACCACACATCCTTTTTATCCCGATCTGTGTATAAAATATGCACAAAAACTTTCCATTGATGCACTTGTGTCTTTTCATATAAAGCTTCCATTACTCCCAACTGTTCATCTCGCCAAGTCTGAATTGCTAGGTCTGTCGTTCTTTAAGGACCCCTGCACTAAACGCATGCAAAACACGCTGCTAACAGAATGCTGTCCAGCGGCCAACAATGTTGAAATACCATGTTGCCCTTTGGGGGGGGGGCTGGTACAACAGCAGTTGTATGATTGTGAGTCCACGATGCAATTAGCAGACAGACAAGCTCATAAAATGACCAAATCAATGAACGCCTTCAGCATTTTTGCCTGCCGTAAGAAAAATCCAGGAACCCACATTGATGCTCATGTTCTCTATCTGCACCCCCCTCCCCCGAAGCATCACGCATAATGCCATAGCAACAATCTAGGCAAGCTGTTTTTTTTTATCCACCTGCCACAACTTTCCCTTTCCAAGCACTTTTAACAGAATCTTGTTTAGCTCAATCTTCGCACATTCTCTCAATTTTGCTGAACAAGATCTTTATTGTGACAACTCCCTTGGAGTAAACACTGCTATTTTCTTGTCCCCAGATATTTTTTGAGGAGGGACGTTTTTTTACTGCAAGAATCCCGAGGGGGTTCTGTAGAGCTTGCCAATACAAACCATGGAATGGATTTCGACGTGGGAGTGGAGGGAGGGGGGGGGGCTTGGGAGACGAGAGTCGATACCAATTACATTACGCTAGGATTGGATTGGTTGGGGACAGCTGTTGAGTGCGGGGCAAAGTCAATAAAAAGTGCTCTTCATTTTCCCCCAATGCACTCCTGTTAACAGGCCTTTTTGTCCTGTCTGACCGTTTCTCACACTTACCGGTAGCTTCTCACTCTGTCTTGTCTTTATTTAACACCCCCTTTTGCCTTTGTCTGTCTGTCTGTCTGTCTAACTATGGCTATCATCTAAACCACAGCAACTGAACAATCTGAAAATAGGGTCACATTCCAGTGTACTTGACCATAATATCAAACCCAGATGTGAAGCATTATCTTGCATCAATGTTCCCACAAAACGCCTAAAACTACATGTACTTCTTTCTGTTTCCTCTATATGGCGTGGAACAATGTTCCTGTAAACATCGGTAGAAACAAAACCATCTTAAAGTTGTGCAGCTCATCCAGAAAGGGGTGGTATAGGCAGTGGCATATCTAGGGCTAAATGTCGGGGAGGGGGCACCTGGGATGCACACATTTTTACAAGGGGGCACCACAAGAAAATAAGCTGTAGCTGCATTGCAAGGGAGATTATTCAGAGATTTCAAAGGGGGGAGGGGGGCATTTGGGGGGGGAGTGCCCCTGACCTCTACTTATGCCACTGGACAAGGGTGGATCCTGAACCAAGTTCTCAAGGGGGCAGCAATTGTACGTAGTTAACTATTAATGTAACCTTTTATGGCCTTTCTGAGGGTTGAGGTGACATATTTTGGGTTTTTTTTATATGCTTTCAGAAGGGAAACAAAACAGACAAAAAGGGGAGAGAGGGAAGGAGGGCATCCCAATCTGCCTTAAGTGTGGGAATGTGTGAAAGAACTCTCGCCATAAATTTAATCACAGTAATGGAACTGGATTACCCCACCGTTTGTTGGGTTTCAGGTATCCAGGTACCTGGGTAACCGGGTACCGGTCACAGTCCTAGTAACATAATAAGTGTGCAATCTAGTCTGTAGCAGAAAGTTAAAGACATCTTCTCCTCAACTAAATCCATTATTCACATGTGAATAGTGTTCAACTTTCTCCTTTGCTGTCAAGTGACCTTGCAAAAAAATAAACAGTTTTTGCACATTGCTCTGAAAGATATAATTCAAGATAAATTTGAATCCAGGGGAAAACAATAACAAGGAATACACATTCAGGAACTGAGATTCTACACGATACTGACATTTGAGCATAATGCACCAACTGGTCCAACCTAGGATGATAGCTAGTGTACAACAAGGAGGAATCGATCATTCAATTACTCTTTAATCAAACACTAGATCCTGTGAGAAACCACACTGCGAGAGTGAGAGCCCATGCAAAGATTGAGTGAATACAGAGCTCTAATTGGATATTTATGGAGGCACCTTTAGGGTTGCCTGGGACTGCAATCACCAAGGAAACAGTTCCGACAAACGTGATGCGCTACACAGATGACATGCAGGACTAAACAACTGCATTCCACTTTCCTGTTGATGGAAATACACCTCACAGATAGTCATGCTGCTTGACGGTCTTACAAATACAACAGTCTCTGCATGTGATAACAGCCTGGTAAGTGGGAAAAGTAGCCTAAAAATGGCCTCTAGAGGGCAGTGGAAAAAGGTAATGTGTCATGGGAGAAGGGGGGGGAGGAAGGAGTTGGGGAGAGGTCAAAGGATCAAAAAACTTTACTCTCAGTATTTCAAACAACCTGCAACAGTTTAGGGGAGTCAGGTCGGCAAGGTAGTTCTTTCCTCACCCTCCACCTCTGTGGTCCCGGGTTCAATTCCTGGCCCGGTCCACATGTGGATTGGGTTTTCAGTCCCTACCTGACTCCATGGGTTTTACCCAGAATATTCCTCTGGGATTTTCCTCCTACCTCTAAAACTGTAACTGCTTCTTACTGTCTCCCCTTTACTGATGTTGGTGAATGTGGGTTGTTTGGCGGCTGCCTGAGACACCCTTGTATGCCATCGGCTCAACCATGTTCAAATGTGTTCATTGTTCTACGCTTAATGTCTTCATTGAACAGTGCATTTGAACATATCTATATGAAATTTGTGCTTTATAAATGAATAAATTATTATCATTATCATAACAGTTGTTCAGGTTAATGACTGGCACAGAGGTTTTCACACAACTTCCATGCACTCACGAGAATGTACTGTCATCAGTCCAATGCTTGGTTTAGTCTTTTGATATGGAAAGTCCACAAAACAAATATACTTTGACAGAATAAGAAAGGCGGGGAGTCAGGTTGGTGGAGTGGCTGGCTCTTTCCTTGCCTTCCACCTCTGTGGTCCCGGGTTCAATCCCTGGCTTGGTGCACATGTGGATTGGATTTTCAGTCCCTACCTGATTCTATAGGTTTTACCCAGAACGTTCCCCTGGTGTTTTCCCTTCCATCTCTAAAACTGTGACTGCTTCTCAATGTCACCTCTTTACAGGTTTTTTGCAGGCTTGTGAGCTCCAGTGCCTAAGGCACTTTTGAGGAATCCTGGGCGTCATTAACACAAGTACTAAATAATAATAATCAGGTCTCATCTTTAACAAACAGCAAACTTGGGATTCTTCAAGTAGGGCCAAGTTTTGTAAGCAACTGTTAATCAATTTATCTCGGTGACCTAAGCACACGATACATCCCAAGTACCAGGTAAATAGACCAGTGGTTGACAATGGTCACTAATCAAACTTGGACAAGAATTTTGCCCTTACCTGGCCATTCTACTGGAACTAGCCATGTCAAGTTGTCCATGACGGAGTCGTAGTAAGCAATCTTCCGATATTTTCCATCTGTAGACAGAACAGAGTTTTAATATTCCACATTACCTATCAATACTTCAATTTCCAGTCACAGAGCCCATTTTTCAGCATCTTGTCCCCTAATTAAAACCTGCAGAGACAAGTCTGGCTTTGGGCTTCCATTGGACGGGCAAGGCTTTGCTTGATGGTGAGATATGCTGTAAAGGAGTCAGTTTGATTCCAATGGATTAAGATTTAGGATGGCTGGTAGGATAATCAAAAGGCACTAAATATACCTTTTGGGGATTTAGCTTAGGGTGGAGGTAAAGTTGGGTAGGTTGGCTGGCTCAGAAAAAAAATACACGAGAGTAGTCAGGACAGCAAGACCAAACTGTACGTAAGACCGAGTTAGGACTCAACTTTAAAAGGGGGGGGGAGGGAATCAAGTCTACCTTCCAACCTTTTCTGTCAGTGGTATTGCCCCAGTGCATTTTTTCACAAGCCAAGTCTTTAGGCTAAGCTATGACCCAAGATAACCTGGTTCTTTTAGGGTTAAGATAGTTGTGTGAGGTGGATCAGGACTGGAATATGTAGTGGGTGTTTGGGTAGGATTGAGTTATATGTACACTTGGCATGAAGGTTATGCAGGGGTGAGATTGACCAATGATAAAAATAGCTGAAAACAGCTGAAAAAAGGCATAAAGAAGCTGAACTGAGAAAATCTCCTTTACTTCTGTACACAACCAGTGAGGAAAACAAGCTGAAATCCAAAACAAAAAAAAGCTGAAATCAGCTAAAAAGCGGAGAAATCTCACTCTGGTCATGACAGCTTATGCTTCATAGTGCGAGACTTGTTTGGCTGGGTTTGGTTGGGACAGGTTAGGTTCACAGAGAGCCATTTGGTTGGAAGGACATAATTTGATCCGGTTAGGTTTAAATACGCTAGGTGGGTGGTTTCAGCTTTTTTGGAGGGTGGGGTGAGATGGGTATCGATAGGTGGGTTGAGCTGGGCATCGGGGGAATTGAGTTTCTCTGGAGCGAAGCTATGCTGGAATACCTGTCAGGAGTCTACTTGTTGGGCTCAACATGGCTGGTTGATTTGGGTGTCGTTGGGCTCAACATGGATGAACTCAGTTCAGAGTGGGTCTATGGAGGGTGGTCTGAAATATGTGATTGCTGAGCTTTCGGTAACTGAGTACCTTCTTCAGGGCAAGCAGATTCAGTTTATTTGAGAATGGTTAGGTTCAGGAGAGATTTACAAAGACCTTACCAATCATTTGTTCAATCTGTGTCCTTGTTACACGGTCTCCTGTTGCTGTGAATGCGACCTGACCCTGTAAAAAAAAGTAACAAACTGAACACTAAATATCTACATAATTTTGATTAACCAGGAGTTATTCCATTGACCATAAAATCTATACTGAAGTAAAGATAACAAATGACCCCCCTCCCCCAAATGAAAAATGAATTCTTGAAAGACTCATCAGAGTGTACTAAAAACCTAACAAACAGTGCATTCCCCACTGGCAATTAAATTTTTTGGGGTACATACACACAACTATACTGCAATTATGGACTTAAAAAAATAACAACAGAAGTGACCCCCATAAAAGTCCAATGCACCTGTTCAAAATTGCCAAGATTTTTGGACTCTTTTTCATCGCCACTGAAATTGCGATGCTTCAAATGCATGACAGTTTCATTCGTCATAAAAAAATTAATTTTACCGGAGCAAAATAAAAAAATCTACAATGCTTTACTAAAAACAGAAAAAGAAAAAACTCTTTCTGGAAGCTCAAGTTAATCCAGCTTAATCCCAAGGGGTCCAGGGAAACATGGCTCAGGGGCTCCAGGCTGGATTAAGGCCAACCGACCTCTCGGCACGGATCAGGGGTTAAATAGGGGCAAGTCAGCCGTATTCACAGGAGGGGCTTCCAGGTTAATAAAGGACCTCAGCTCAGCTGCGCTTCAACGCGGCAAGCCAGATTTTCTTTTTATTTTTTTATATTTTTTGGTTGGGCTCCTGGCGCTGATTTGTGGAGATGTGCGGTCACGTTCTGCATTGTGCGGCGGTAGTCCCCCATGACATTCTCATATTTTTTGGCAGAGCTTGTGAAAGCAAGGGAAGGGAGACAGGACCCGGGGAAAGTGACCATCCCTCGTCCGGTTCATCAATGCGGCGTCAGACCATCATCTCTGCTTGAAATCGTCAATACAATTATTTGATTTGATTTCGTGCGACGTGCCACCGACGGATGTCCCAAAATTGTCCGGACATTTGATTTATTTTTTTCCCTGTCAATTGGGACTTACGATGGGCGTCCTCGCGTTGTGGGGGAGGGGAGCAAAAAGGGTATGATGAAATGGCTCGTCAAAATGTCTGCTTGCATTTCAGGAGTGAGGGTTAGGAGTGGCAAATTCGCTGTTACAAATAAATCTTAAAACCAATTCCTTTTTCACTCTTAGACAAGGGTGACCGCCATTCAAATCAAGTTTTATTTTGTTCCTATTTGAGGAAAACATTCAGTTTTTAAACACTGTTTTGCTGCATCAGTGACAACGACACAAGGCCTTTATTATGTTTTTACCATAATTTTACCAAACAAACTTGGCAACACCTCATTAAGAGCTAAAGGCAGTTGCTTACAAGCAGAATTCTCTTTTTTGGAAACAAAACTGCATCAGAATGATACACAACTTAAAAAAGAAAATCCATCCTCTCCAGGGTGGATTCAATAAAGGGCAGCCCTGCTAACAATAGAGCCCTACCGGTAGCTGCATGGACACGTGCTCCAGCATCACCCCCTTCTGGTTAAACTACCTTCCTCCGCCCCTGGGGCCAGTTCCGCCCCTAAACAGGATCTTCCACCCCCAAGTCAGATATCCCTGACATAGCCAGTCTCTTTAGTGTAACCCGATAAAGGGGAATTGGTATTGTCTTTCAGACAGACCGTGTAATTTGAGGTTGAAGACAGGCCAGACTCCTCCAGATTAAAGTGTGACAGCGATGAAGTCTTTTCTTCCTCCCATTTCACACCCTATCAAATGAAAGGTTTTTTTCCAGACAAGTAATCTTCCAGTAATTTGTGCACATCCGGGTTTATCACACACTTCATCCTGATACAGTTGACAACTATCTTTGAACAGTGATTTTTCTGAAGTTGAAATGTAATTTGACTTTGTCTGGATATGAATTCTTGTTTTTGCTTTGTGAGGAAAATTCCAGTGTGACCCTTATGCTTTTCCCAGTGATACATTTTCATCTTTTTCATATCTGAAAGATGCTTGCTTAATAATTCTGGAATGCTGGAATGCTAAACTTTTTTAAGTCCAATATTGTATTTTTAACCAGCAGGCTGACACCTTTTTTAGTACTGATGCAGCATGTATATTTGAAACATAAGGACATTGTAAAAAACCTACCAAGACTAATCAGACGTTTAAATTAGACCTTTAACCTTTAAAAGAAAGGAAGGGCTGCAGTTAATCACAGACTCTGACCAAGAGTTGAGAGAACCTGAAATACCACCCTAAAACATTCCAACGCAAAACAAATTTTGAAGACACATCCAGATGAGGAAAATTCGGAGGGTCCTCTCTGGCCAAAAGCCATCCTCGACAGAGGCCAAAACTGACAATTGTTAGTGCCTCCATTTTTACGATTGCCATTAAGCCCCTATAATCACCACTGTATTGGAGATACAGCATATTAACAGCAAGCACATTCACTAGGAAATGCAGGCGTTACGGTCACATTGCTACCAGCAAAATAAACTACACCCAACCAACTTGACTCCTTTCAACCGATAAGGGGCTTTTTCTGCTTGAGCGGATTGGTTCTTGACATCTATATCTACTCATATGTCCACAAGTGGTACCCATTGAAGCTTGGGTTTTTAAACATATATTTTCAAGGGAGAAGTTCCAACTTGACACAACCAAGCAGTTCATCAGTCTCAGAGACCTCTAACAAAGTGCGAATTTTCCAACGCATGCCTGTGGATATAATTTCCAGTCACGTTTTTTTCCTTCTTCTTTGGTTGAAAACATCCGTCAATTATTCAGTTCAGTTTCGCAGCTCTGTTTTCTCTGTCAGTTTGCCGCGAGTTTGATTACATTTTTCACGCTGATATATGATCTGCGGGTCCCTGCGATTGCTTTCACAACCCCCCTGGTATTACATTGCACTTTCCGATGCTCTCTTTTTTTCAGCAGACCAAACAGTTTTGTGTATTCGTGCGCGGACTGACTAATATGCATCACAGAATGCATTTGACAAGTGAAGCGAAACCGAATAGCCTCTTGTGTAAAAAATAAACCCCCTAAAAATAAGTTTACAAATGATTTAAATTTTAAAAAAATTCCAGAAATTCCAGAAGATACACGTATGCCTTCAAGTCGTGAACCTGAATCAAGGTGTTGCCAAAGACGTTTTTTCTGCTGAGAGAACCTTTCATGGGGGCTGTAGAAGTTAGCATGGACACAACAACATCAGAAGCAGAACTTGTCTAGAACAGAGACCAACCTATGGGAATCTGTATATACAATGACATATAGACTAGCCCAGCTTTCTTATCAATTGTTGAAAAGCCCCCCCGTAATCTCTCAGAGGAGGAGGCAATGTATTGAGCTAAAAAACATGCCCAAAATAAAAGTTTCAAATTTTCAACGTATCTTCTTGAATCCAACATCACTTCCCAAAGTTTTTCAACCCAAAGCTAATTTATGTGGAGACCATTTCCCCCCTACTTACAGAGAGTCCAGGAAAGTTAGTGGTGTTGAGCGCATTGAAGATCTCCTCTGCTATCTCCAAGTTACCGTAGGTGTAGTTCTCCAGCTTCAAGCCACGGTCAGCGAGCCTATTGGCAGTTCTGCAACAGTTGGACAAAAAAAAATGATTACAATGAAAGGGAAAAAGAAAATAAATTCCCAGAAAAAGAAGGATCACTACACCTCAACAAAATCAGTCTTATAGAGTATTCTGATTTTTATATACATCTAAGAGAACATATTTTGATCTTCATTTTGACATAATGCTCGGTCTGACATCCTGGCAATTATCAATTCTGTGCATATTATTATTATTGATTTTTGACCATGTCAAGGGTCGTGAACAAGACCTCAAGGTGCTTCTAAAATCACTCCCCAAATAAAATGATAATCGGTTAAAGATAAAATCAGAAACGCTGTACATAAAGTAAAAACATGAACAAGTTGACAACTCCTACTGTCTTCAGAGGAGTACGAGATTTCTTAAAGGGGACTGTAACCAAAAAGAAGCTTTATGTGATTTAATGTGATCTAAGATTCTTCTGTGTGATTTACATTTTTTAAGCAGGATCTGTGGATCTCCAGATGCGTTCAATTTCTTTCTGCGTTTGTTTTGCATTTTGCAAACAGTGCCAACAAAGCCTGTCCGCTACCAACCTCTCAGAAAGTAATTCACTGGCACAGGCCCAGTGGTCATGGGTAGCAATGCAAAAAATGCTGGTACCAGTCAGGAAATAAAATACGCTCCAAACTTCACACCACAGCTGTTGTATTTGCCAGTGCTTTGGAATGAAGAGCATTTCTAACAACAAGCAAAGTTCTACACCCACTGCGTTGTAAAGTGATAAACAATTTAGGTCATAATTTTTCAACCGGCGATGCAGATCGTTCTTACTGGTTAAGGGCCAGCGCTATTGACCATATTGCATCATAGGCGAGCGGTGCCTCTGGGTAGCCTGAGACTTGGGTGGGATTGGACACGTTCAGGGCTTTGCTGATGCGAGCTTCGTACTCATCAGATGTCTGCAAAGACACAAGAAACGGTGGTTAAAAAAAATGTGATTATTTCAGGTTTAAAGAAACCATATTTTAATTAGAGGGATGGAAAGAGTGTAGCTACAGCTTTGTGATGAAACTTTTTTCCTGTTTCGGAGGTTCTGATTGCCAGAAACTTTATGAACATTTTATATATTATATATATATTTTATATAAAAATACTGCCCATTTAAAAGAAAAAATCTAGATAAAAAAAGGCAAAACTTTCTGGATAAAGAAAAAAAAAATTCCAACCCATAGCTTTCAGCTTTCAGTGGAGTGGAGACAATACGAAAGAAGGGTAGCTATAGCAACCCCCACTCCAACAACAACCCCCACCCAAAATACATCTTTCAAGAGTCAGCAAAGCAGGTCAACCCTTTGTATTTGGCCACTGACTTCCCTCAGATCAGTTTCTGTCAACAAAGGAGCAATAAAAGAATTGATCTGTTTGGGAAAACTGACTGTGACATTGGTCACCGTCAACCTCTTCCAAGTCAAACAAGCCAAGGAGCCAGCCAGTGCTGAATTCTTTTCAATTCAGGCAAATCCCAACTTTCTTTATTCAGTTTCCAAAACATCTATCCAGTGAGTATATGTGACCCCCCCCCATCCCAAAATCAGGCTGAAGTCGCCCATTTGTGATGTTGGACAATTCCTCTCCTTCTGCTTTGTTTAAACTTTAAAGTGATCTATGTTAAATCCAAATTCTGTCTGCAGTAAGCTTCTTACGGGTGGTGAAAGCTGCGAAACTCCCATGAAAAACTGAACAGTGGAAGTTCCACTATTTTGGGGTTATGAAGTTACCTACTTCAGCCTGGTTTGGGGATGGTGGGTCACATATACATCTTAGGTATTTTGGACATGGGAGGGGGGGGAAGCTTGGTCATCCAGTGACCAGTGAGGAATGTTCAGAAATTAAATAGGCAGCACTAGTGACTATATAAGGCTTACACAAGGCGGCACATCAGTAATTGGAGCAGAACCACACAGGTCAAATCTAAGTTCATTCACCTTCTCTGATAACACACAAAATCAAATTAACTGATGACTTGCATCCCCTCCCCAAAAATGCCTGAGGCCCCCAAGTCTACTTGTTACGCTGATCAGTTTCAATGGGAACATCAGTTCTGAGGAAAGTTCCATGAAGAAGTATATTACAGAGTGAATTATACATGATCATATAATACTTTGGATGGCTTTGGCAATTTTTTAGATGTGTACTTTAGTTTCATTTTTTTAAATTTGTAAGAGGAGGTGTAATTTTGAAGGGAGAGGTTTATCCAGTAGCAATCCCTAGTATGGTTTGTCTCTTATAACCAATGATGCACCTTAGTAATATTTGACAAGGAGCTTGGCACCAGACCACACATACTTTTGCTACACGTTCATATCCCCTGGGATATCCCGGGTGATACAACTGAAGGTGTGAAAAATAACTTATGTTTATATCTGGTGCAGGGCCAGTAGAAAAAGGAAATCCCAACCCCAGAAATGATGTCTAATTCAGACTGCCCTGGATGGTCATGAATCTGCCTGCAGAATTTCCTGGTGCTGTTTGGACAAGACCTCCAATGGAGGAAGCTCAAAATGAGCTTCGTGTATACACAAAGTAAACCTACCCTCCCCCAGCACCTGGCACAGACATGTCCGGTGTGATTCATCCCTTAGCCGCAACATTCAAAGCATGCTTGTCACGTAGGTGTAACCCTTACTAATGATGCTGGGTATAATTGTGAGTTCACGCCTCCATCCCGTTAACAGATGCAGAATGCATTAACCCTCCACCCTGTCCAGTTTTTGTTATTGTTCTTTCTTTTAAGATTTGAATGTCTTGTCTAGATTCCTCTCTCATCTGCTTTCAACTGGTTACTCAATTACAAATGTACTTTCAACAGAAATTTTCAAATGAGAAATTATATGCTTTGCTGGTATACCTGGCTTTCCTCACCATTTCAGGGGCCCCCTACATGTTGGATCTGTCACTGCATGTTCACCCCCTGCCCTCCTATACAAGACTTCCTTGCAGACTTTGATTCCATTTGCTGAACATAATTACAGAATAAGTCAACACTCCAATTGACCTGGGGTTCAATAAATCACTCAGGCCTGCTTATCATCGAACAAATTTTTTTTTTCATGATAAATTCATTGACTGACCTTTGTTCACTGAAATGGCTGTTCGCAACACTCAGGTGAACTTTCAGGTGCGACTATGACCTAACCCTAGTTCATTGCATATTATCATCCCCCAACTAGCAGATGAATACAGTCACTGGATCAGTTCAGTAGTAGCATCTATGATAAAACCTAATCAACCGGCAGTCTTTCAACTCAGAAACAAATTACTTGTCGATGGCATTGCTCCCAAATTAACCCTTGTATAATAAATCAACCAGGAACCGTAACTAACAAACTGCCAAATCTTTCACCTGGCCAGCAGACAAAAGAGTGAGTCACTCTTAAACAATGCAACCTATTAAAAAAAAAGAAAGCAGGCAAACAATGGACCGGTGGTCTGGCAGATATCCAGGCAACTGGCTATGTAACCATCTCCACCTGCAAATCATCAAAGGAACAATTCAGTAATGGATATAAATATTGTCTTTTCTACCTGAACGTGACAAACAAAAGTCACAACTTACACCATGGTGTAAAGGAACACATTCTCATCTTGCCAAACCCTAGCATCACAAAACATGGTGGGCCTGACGTTTCGATCCTAGCAGAATCTTTCTCAAAGGCAAAAGACATCCATGAGAAACGGAACCACAAAGCAAGGCAACAGAGCATTCTTATTACCATGGACCAGCCAGTCCTATTTTTTGGCACATTTTTTTTCAGTACAAATTATCCAAAGATGAGATACAACATACATTGTACACTCTAATCATTACAAACTTGAAATGGTTGAGATGCAAGACAAAAGCTCTCCAACTGAGAATAGTATTTGTTTAAAGTTTGTTTTCTAGGAAAGTGACAAACAAGAGGTCCAGAAGTTTGAAAGCAACCCACGGCCGGAAACTTCATCCTCACACCAACTCAAGACCCGGTAATTGTAACTTCCTTGAGCCAAGGACCCGCGGCATTCCTCCCATAGTCCCTCATTACCGCTCCATCTACTTCCTCCTCCCTGCACTCCTGCAAACCCCTCCGCAGGGCATCCCTCCGTTGGCATTCTTGTGGCTTGCCATCCTCCATCACTGCGGTGACCAAGTAAACGGTGATGAGCTTCTCCTCGCTAGTGACCATGGCTCATCATCCCTTGTCTTGTTGACAGGGGACGAAGGGGGGGGGGAGAGAGAGAGGTATGTCCGGAACTCTAATTGGAATTACCTGGGGTATCTTTGTCATTCGGGTCGGTTGCCAAGCCTGATTAAAACCAGCAGCCATATGACCGTATTCAGATTTGTTTATCCGACAATGCTACTCTCGGATTTCATTTTTCCTTTTGAAAATAGAGTTCCTGATGATTCCTTCTGATGTAACAAATCATACTCAACACATCAAGCCTGTCCTAGATTTCTTGGGTCAAATTTTGGAATTTTGTAGGTTTTTAATGATTCAGAGTCACAGGCTATGCAAAGTGTTGTAGGCGATGAGTGCATAACTCCCGTGTTCCTAGAAGCTTCATGTAAAGCCACTGTATTTTTGCTCAAGGAAAAAGAACAAACAATACACTAGTAACAGTTTCCATCAAAATGTTCTGCAAAGTCCACAAGTATCGTCTTTTATTCATTGGTGTATCCAGGGTTTGGGCCAGGGGGGAAGAGGATTTTTTTCTCCTCCAAAACAACTCTCTAATTCCTTTTTCCCATAAAAAGAATCCTCAACCCACCCTCTTCCAGATCAGGTTATGTTGCCATCTCAAATGCTTTCAATCCCTTTGCCCCCAAAAAGCAAAATTCAGCAACATACATGTATCTCCAGAGGAATCCCCCCCCCATATGCCACTGCTTTTGCGCTGTTTCTGTTCTGTGATAGTTGATGTGGAATGATATCAAAATGCATCGTGGAAGAATTTCTCATCAAGTTCTCCAAAGCTCCATCTTTTTTCAGAATTATGACAAATGTGCCAAGCACACTCCAGGTCACATGCATGAAATGTCAGACCACTGCAATTAGAATATCATGGTCCGCTCGACATTACTTCATTTCGAATACCAACTATAGTGGGTTACAATCTGTCGGGCCTCACATGCGATAAATTCCAAGCCCCTCCAGTTTGAGGGCCAGTTTACCCAGTTTGCAAGCACGGTGCCAAAGTTGAACAAGTCCCACACATTACAAGACATCAAGGCAAGATAGTGCACGTTGGTGCTCGGATCCGCCGATCTTCCAGATAAAGAACTGGAAAAAAAAATTTCATTTTGAGAAGTCTTGGATCCTTCAACTAAAAATTTATCAATGTAAAAAAAAAAATTGGGGGGGGGGCTCCACTGTCCAACCGACGGCAAAGTCCCCTACTAGTGTTAATTGTAAGAGATACCACCTTTTTTCTTTTTGTGTACAATTTTTTTATATTCTTCCCTCCGACTGGAAGACCCTTATTTTTTTTCTTGAGACCATAGAAAATCCTTTTTTCCCCCTTTTCTTCCCCTGTCTTTCTCTAAAAATTTGTCTTTAAAAAAATCCGAGCACCAACTTATAAAGAAAATGCTTGCTTAAGCATCCATGTCCCAATCAATGCTACTAAACCGAGTTTTAACCATTGGGCTGTACATTAAATGTGATTTATGGCATTGGACACAGAAAAAGCTGAAAAAAATCAAAAGGAGAAAAGGAAAAAAATGCATCCTCCGAGAAATCTTTAGCACAAGTGAATAACTGCACTACAGGCATCTTCCAGTGTTAGTTAATAGTTCCGCCCTGGATACCATGTCTCTTGGGCCCGACTGTTCAACATACTCTGAGTGACTGGAATTTCTAGAAATTATGCAGCGTATTTTAGATCGCCACTTGCGGCAGGCTTCAGTGATACATTGCGC